CTGAAACTCGATTTCCAAAGATGGGGTTACTTTGGATATGATGTGTGACCCTGCAGGGAATAATAAAAATTATTCTGCCTGTACACTCTCAGAGGATGTATTAATGTCTGGTTAATCACTCATCTTTCACAGCAAAGTGCTCAGTAAACTTGGGCTAAAATTAACAGCCGCCAGCTTTCCTTGCTCTGCAGGTCCCTTCCAGGCGGCCGTGAGTGTGCTGTATGGTGGGGAGGGTGACGCTAGCTTTGGTGTCTGCACTAAAAACCTTTGCTCTTCATATTTGCTTTTGGCTAAGAAACCAAGAGAGAATTTGCCAGCACAATTTGCTCCATACTCCTGAATAAAAAATCACCAGAGGTAACGTTATTCTTTGGTTGAATGACAAAGATTGCAGCCAGCATATAAATGAGGTTATTTTTTTAATTACACTATAATCCCAAGAATATGACTGTCGGATAATTGACATGAAACGTCTGAGAATAGTTTCCAGGTAAAGGATGATGTGCTGCAACAAGCCTTCAAGCAGAGACCATGACACGTCAAGTTTATCTATTCTATTAACTTCTTATAATAAGAATTAATCATGCTCTGCAAGTCTTAAAAAAAAAACAAAACCAATTGTCTGACTCAGGCAACAACTGTGAGATGCACTGAGGAACAGGAAGAGAATCATCAGGCTTGTTTTTATTTCTGACCTTGGAGGGAACCTAATGCCCCAGGTGCAGGCAGAGCCCTTCTCAGCTAACACAACCCAACTATTATCTAAAACCAGTCTCCCATTGGTAGATATTGGCTTTGTAGTTGTTACTCTTTATTTCAAGTACAAATAAACAGAATCTTCGGTCAGTGAGGCAGGGGTTTTCAAACATTGCTGTAAGTCAGAATTTCTTGCAAAGCTCGATAAACACGCAGCTTCCTGAACCCACTTCCATTCAGTCACCAAAGATTGAAAGGCTGATACCTGGGCCTCACTCTACATCAGTTGAATCTGTCTCTGGGAATAAGGCCAATGCCTCAGTATTTCCCAAAATACTCATGTAGCCACTTGAGACTCTAAGGTGCAGGCCTAGGTCCAGAAGTCCTGCCCTGTTGAGTGGCTTAGTAGGTGAGGGTGGGGCCTAGCCCCTCCAGGTCTAGGTGTCACATGTGAGTCCCATGCCCACAATCTGTGGACCTCACTCTCAAACACACTGGCCCAGGTTGTATCAAAAATCTAGGTCACTTTGAAGCTCTATGAATTGGTGCCTCTCAACATGAGAATCGCTTCTCCTTTGACTTCTTTGTACTATAATAACACCTCTTAATTAAAACTCAGTCTTCAAACAGGATGGCCAGATTCATAAGCTAATTAAGATGTTTAAGGATAAAAAATATGTTACATTAGGGCAAAAGTAGATTTTTATCTACCATGTTATCAGAACTTCATAAATAAATAAATTGCATTTCTAAGATGAAAGTAGCTCAAAATTATTATCTCACAAGATATTGGTTTTAGAAATAAAATTTAATTCAGGAGATTAAACTTTAATTATATACTAATTAAATTATATACTTAATTAAGTATAATTTAATTTATACTAAACCATAATGAATATTTAAAAGCCCACTTAAGTCAAAGGGATAAACTTCCAGCCAAGATGAGGCATAGGTAGATATACTTTGCTTCCTTGCACAACCAAAAGAAGGACAACAACAAATTTGAAAACAAAAAATAACCAGAACTTCCAGAAAATCAAAATTGTATGGGGTCTGACAGGCAGGGGACTGAAGAAGAAACATTCGTTCAGACTGGCAGGAGGGGAGGACAGGCGGCCAGAGCAGAGAGGACTCCCCAGCAAGGCTGCGGCTGGAGGACCCAGGGTCCCACATTCATATGCAGATAAACCAGGAGGAACAACTGGGGAGTAAGACGGATCACACGACCCAGGGTTCCAGCATAAGGAAATAAAGCCTCAAAACCTCTGGCTGTAAAAATCTGTGGGGGTTGCAGCATCAGGAGAAACTCCCAGCCTCACAGAAGAGTTCATTAGAGAGATCCACAGGGTCCTAGAACATAAACAAAGCCACCCACCTGGTAATCAGCACCAGAAGGGTCCAATTTGCTTGTGGGTAGTGGGGGATGTTACTGAAAGCTGGCCTGGAGCCCAGCAAGAGGTACTGTTCCCTCTCAGACCCAGTCCCCACATACAGCACCACAATGCAACAATGTGGGTAGCCCCAACCTGGCAAATACCTAAGGCTCCACCCCTTACAATGTAACAACTGCACCAAAACAAAGAAATATTGCCCAAAGGAAAGAATAGATCAAAGCTCTGAAAATAGAACTAAGCAGTGAAGAGACAGCCAACCTATCGGATGCAGAGTTCAAAACATTGGTAATCAGGATGCTCAGAGAAATGGCTGAGTAGGATCACAAAATAGAATGATCTATTTTGTGAGAGGAAAAAGTGAAGGCTATGCAAAGTAAAATAAAGAAAAATATACAGGAAACCAACAGTGAAGGGAAGGAAACCAGGACTTAAATCAACAATTTGGCGTAGAAGGAAGAAATAAACATACAACCAGAACAGAATGAAGAAACAAGAATGCAAAAAAAATGAGGAGAGGATTAGGAACCTCTGGGACAACTTTAAGCGTTCAACATCCAAATCATAGGGGTGCCAGAAGAAGAGGAAGAGCAAAAAATTGAAAACCTATTTGAAAACATAATGAAGGAGAACTTCCCTAATCTGGCAAAGCAAATAAACTTCTAGGAAGGCCAGGAAGCTCAGAGTCCCAAAGAAGTTGGACCCAAGAAGGAACACACCAAGGCACATCATCATTACATTAGCCAAGATTAAAATGAAAGAGAGAATCCTAGAAGCAGCAAGAAATAAGGGGACAGTCACCTACAAAGGAGTTCCCATCAGACTGTCAGTGGATTTCTCAAAAGAGACCTTATGGGCAAGAAAGGGCTGGAAAGAAGTATTCCAAGTAATGAAATCCAAAGACCTACATCCAAGATTGCTCTATCCAGCAAAGCTGTCATTTAGAATGGAAGGGCAGATAAAGTGCTTCTCAGGTAAGATCAAATTCAAGGAGTTCATCATCACCAAGCGCTTATTATATGAAATGTTACAGGGACTTACCTAAGAAAAAAGATAAAAAAGATGAACAGTGAAAGGACAGCAAACTCACAGTTATTAACGACCACACCTAAAACAAAAGCAAACTAAAAGGATAGCTAGATCAGGAGCAGAATCATAGAAATGAAGATCACATGGAGGGTTAGCAACAGGGGAGTGGGAGGAGGAGAAGGGGGGAGAAGGTACAGAAAATAAGTAGCATAGAGCCCTGGCTGGTGTAGCTCAGTGGATTGAGCACGGGCCTGCGAACCAGACAATCGCGGTTTGATTCCCAGTCAGGGCACATGCCTGGGTTGCAGACCAGTTCCCTGCAGGCCAATTCCCAGCAGGGGACGCATGAAGGACAACCATACATTGATGTTTCTCTCCCTCTCTCCTTCCCTTCCCCTCTAAAAGATAAATAAATAAAATCTTTAAAAAAAAAAGCACAGGAAAAATTTTTTAAAAAAAGAAAATAAGTAGCATAGATGGTAGGTAGAAAATAGATAGGAGGGAGGGCAAGAATAGTAGGGGAGATATAGAATCTAAAGAACTTAAAACACGTGGTCATAAACTAAAGGGGGGAATGGTGGGGGAGGGGTGTGCAGGGTGGAGGGGAATGAAGGGGGGAATAGAATCAACTGTAATGGCATAATCAATTTAAAAATTAATTAATTAATTAATTTAAAAAAAAAAGTTGGACCCAAGGAAGCACACACCAAGGCACATCATAATTACATTAGCCAAGGTCAAAGATAAGGAGAGAATCTTAAAAGCAGCAAGAGAAAAGGAGACAGTTATTTACAAAAGAGTTCCCATAAAACTGTCAGCTGATTTCTCGAAAGAAACATTACAGGTAAGTAGGGCCTAGAAAAAAGTATTCAAAATCATGAAAGGCAAGGACCTAGATCCAAGATATCCAGCAAAGATATCATTTAGAATGGAAGGGCAGATAAAGAACTTCCCAGCCAAGAAATAACTAAAGGAGTTCATCATCACCAAGCCCTTACTGTATGAAATGTTAAAGGGACTTAGCTAAGAAAAGGAGGAAGATCAAAACTATGAACAGTAAAATGACAACAAGCTCACAACTATCAACAGCTGAACCTAAATAAACCAAAAACAAAAACAAACTAAGCAAACATCTAGAACAGGAACACAATCACAGAAATGGAGATCACATGGAGGGTTATCAGTGGGGGAGGGGGAGAATGGGGGAAAGGGTACAGGGAATAAGAAGCATAAGTGGTCGGTACAAAATAGACAGGGGGAGATTAAGAGTAGTATAGGAAATGGGCAAGCCAAAAGACTTATATGTACAACCCATGGACATAAACTAAGGAGGGGAGATGCTGGTGGGAGGAGGGTTGTAAGGCAGAGGGGAATAAAGGGGAGAAAAAAAATGGGACAACTGTGATAGCATAATTCATAAAATATATTTTTTTCAAGTCAAAGGGATAAGTAAGTACAAGGATAGTCATGGCAGCATTACTTTTAATAACAAAAAATTTTAAATTACCTAAATATCTATTCAAAAGGGGACTAGTTAAATAAATATTGTATACAATTAAGTAGGATGCATCCATTAAAGAGAATGATACTGCTTTCTATACAGTAACAAATAATATCTCCAAGATATAACTGATAATAGAAGCAAATGGTACATAAGTATGTAGTATAAAGCCCTTTGTGTTTTAAAAAATTAGGCCTGTATGAAATTTATGGTATTTCTCTGGAAAGATACACAACAAAGGGGTCGTAGTGATTTCCTTCAGAGAGGGAAACTGTGGCTTGGAAGATGAGACTCCCTGTCCCCATTAATATTCGTTTGGGCCTTTTGGATTCTTGTGCTGTAACTAAGTCTGTATAATCCAGCAATTTTTATTTTGTGTAAAGGCTTTATGACAGCAGATGAAAGAAAATTATTTGACCATCTCAAATCTCCTCACCTGAAATACTGGGTTCCATTCATCTGGTTTGGAAATCTGGCCGCTAAAGCCCGGAAGGAAGGTAGAATCAGAGACAGTGTTGATCTGCAATCATTGATGACTGTAAGTACATCAAAATTGCCAAAAGAAAATTTGCTAATCATTGAGACTAACAAAGACCTGGATGCGACAGTTGGACCAGGATGAATCCGTTTTGTTTCATTCAGAGCCCTCAACATGCAGGACCAGCACCGCACACAAGTTCTGATTCAGGCTGATTGGCAGTAGTTGCTTGGAAGCTCTGGATGAAACAGAAATTAGGCTTGTAATAGGCTCTGTAAGAAAGTGTCCCTTCACTGACTCGCCATGCCTGCGAGGGCTCTGCAGGATCTGGTGCATCCCTGGCTCCAGGGCCTCCCCAAGTCTCTTCCCCAAACTGGAATATTTCAAGGTTAGGCCAGCTTTTCAGATGCTCCAGAAAATAAAACTGCGTTTTTATTCAATAAAATAATGCTAAATTCACCTGAGAAACAAATTAATGTGAGGGCTAGAGGGGTTTGTGCCATGGTAGTCTCCTGTCTGGATCAGCCTAAGAGAAGTGAAGGATTTTAAAATAGCTCCCAAATGAGTGTGAACTCTTCTTCCCAGTCTCAGGTAATAATTTATGTGCAGTAGTGGGGAAAAAAATCAATGGGTATCAGTCCTTCCTGCTCTGAAGGAAGATAGATTTTCTGTTAATTATAAGCATCTCATTTGGGGGGGATGAGGGTTAGGATGGATTTCTTTTTTCTAAGATCTATAGTAAGCATGTTTTCAAAAGAGAGAAACAACAAAAATATTCCATCTCCACATAATTTACCAAAATGGCTAGAAATGACTTATTTAAAACATTAACCACTGCCTTCCCATCACCACTTCAGACCAATGTCATGTGGGAAATTATGAATTTGGTAGGAGATACTTCTATAAAGTCTTGACTTATCTATCTATCTATCTATCTATCTATCTATCTATCTATCTATCTATCTATCTTCAGGTGTACTTCTTTTTGTACATTTTCAAATGGCATTCATTGCTTGTTATTTTCAGAATTTTCCTTTGCAGTGGCCTTCAGAACCAATGTGTGAGCCTTACAAGGCAGTCCCATCATTTCACCAACATAGTCATAAAAGCCACGGCCACATTCCTAGTCCCACCACACCCATCACTTCAGTAAATCATGTTTTATCTGTTTCTGGCTTAGGAAATGAACCGGTACCGATCTTGGTGCAGCCTCTTGTTTGGTTACGACTGGGTTGGGATCCCGCTGGTTTACACCCAGGTATGGAATACCGTGCACGTGACTTTTGTTTCTGCACACCCACTGCTGCACTTGCTGGGGCGGCCAGTGCCTCGCTCTCACTGGGTTTCTCTCTGTTCCAGGTTGTCACTCTGGCCGTCTACACCTTCTTCTTTGCGTGCCTGATTGGACGCCAGTTTTTGGATCCCACCGTAGGCTACGCGGGGCATGACTTAGATCTTTACATTCCAATCTTTACTCTTCTACAATTCTTCTTCTATGCAGGATGGCTCAAGGTAACACCAGTCCCAGTGCCATGAGACCCCCTCTGTATGTAATCACTGTCATGTTCAGACTCTGCACGTGGGTCCTTTACTGAGTCTTGCAAATCATTTCTGAGTGAGTCACAGGTAGATTTAATATTTAATAGCTCAGAGATGTTATTACTTTTTAACTGGGGATTAAAGTGACAGGGATGTGGGTGAGCCCCATATTGCAGCAACAGAACAGCTCATTTTTGCAAAGAGATAAGAAGATTGTTTTACAGCTATTGATTTTTTTAAGTCTTTGTGCGCTCCCATGAGGATTACAATAATGTAAGTAAAGTAATAACTCTACCTGCACTGATATTTTATACCACAATAAGCAACTAGGCAGTAAAAGAGAGTAAATAAGAAGTTTTGTATATTAGACGTAAGCATTAATATTGTATTATTACTGTGGTTCTTCTCAACTCTGTACATAGTTAGCTGCAGTTCCCTGAAATCCCATTAGCTGTTCCACAACACTAACTGCATCCCATTTTGAAAACCAGAATTCAGACTCAGAAAAGAATTCATCAAGCCCTGGCCAGTGTGGCTCAGTGGGTTGGGTGTCATTCGCAAAGTGAGGGGTCACTGGTTTGGTTCCTGGTCTGGGCACATGCCTGAGTTGCAGGTTCAGTCCCCGATGTTTCTCTCCCCCTCTTTCTAAAAATGGAAAGGGAAGGGAAGGGAAGGGAAGGGAAGGGAAGGGAAGGGAAGGGAAGGGAAGGGAAGGGAAGGGAAGGGGAGGGAAGGGAAGGGAAGGGAAGGGAAGGAAGGGAAGGGAAGGAAGGAAGGGAAGGGAAGGGAAGGGAAGGGAAGGAAGGGAAGGGAAGGGAAGGAAGGGAAGGAAGGGAAGGGAAGGGAAGGGAAGGGAAGGGAAGGGAAGGGAAGGGAAGGGAAGGGAAGGGAAGGAAGAAGAAAGGAAAGGAAGAAGAAAGGAAGAAACAAAGAAAAGTTCATTGAAATGAAAACCAGAAACACCAGAACTAATGACAGCATCTGGTTTGCCAGTAAATTAAAACCAGGTTAGAACAGTAAGGACAACTTGTCCAATCGTTGGTGTGAAATTTTATTTATTCCCACCACCACCTCCTTTTACCTCTCCCTTAGGTGTATGTAAATATCAGAGGTCCGATTCTTCCATCTCTTTTGGGAACTTCCAAAAGAGAAGTACAGTATGTGATTAAAAAATACTGGAGACTTTGGCTACATTAGGCTAATTGAAATCCAATGACAGCATGAAGAGGACATTAATAACATGGAATTTCCAAATGGCCGACCCCCCAAGCGGCCGCATCAGCTGGAGTGAGCCAGCAGGGCTTCCAGGTGGCAGCAGCATGTCCCTGCAGGTCCTTCATTTTTGTTGCTTTGAATCTCAACCAGAAAAAATAAATTACATCGGCATTTCAACTTATACTTTGAAGAGTAAAGGCATATCCTTTACAAATAGCACAAACATTTTTAACCAGATGACAATAATTCTTAATTATTTTTTACCCAATTAGGACAGAGAAAGAGCAAGAGAGACCAATCACTCCCATTTCCCGTTAGAGCAAAGAGTGGATTCTATTTTTGTAAAGAGAAAAATCACCCAAATTGGCCCAAATGCTTAATCATCCTGGTGTTTCATTGGTTTTTCCAAGTCATGCTGAGCTTTTCAGTGTTTGCTTTGTGTCCGTGTGAGGGGCTCGGGCACCTTGCAGGGAGCAGTTGGCTCCTGCCCTCTGACATGCCCTCTAAAATAATGTTCTTTCCATGTACAAAGTACTTTTAAAGAAAAATATGGGAAGACAACCTTAGCTCCATTAACAGATGGACAACTAGGCTTTTTCACCACAGACTGCATCTCAATTTCTGAACAGCTGTTTTATCTTGACCATTCTAATATTTTTAAGTCTTTCCAAAGTGTAGAAAATCTATCTAACCTTATGAAGAGTATATTATTCAGTTATTTGCTAGAAATGGAGCCTCCAGTTTTTACTAAGAAAGTACAACGTGTCTTTGTGCGAGAGTTTATTCAGAGACAGATGTCATTTTGGTAGTTGAGTGTAGGACTGATCCCATAAAAAGAAGTTCTGGATATAACAAACATATTTTCAAGACCCACCCAGTGGCCCATGTAATTTAAGGAGAAAGGGTAGGTAGCCCCTTGGAACTTACAGTAAAAGACTTGGATGTGGATACCGTGTGAGGCTGACTGGCTCAGGCCTTGTCTAGGGCTGTCCCTCAGAATGAGGGAGATGGTGGTTCTGAACCCTGGCCACAGGTAAAATCTACCCAACACTGCCACCCGGGTTCAGCCTCACACCCTTTAAATCAGAATTTCTGGGGGAGAGACCCAGGCATCACTTATTTTAAAAGCTCCACAGGTGAGTTTGATGTTCAGCCAAGGTTGAGAACAGCTGCTCTAAGTGGTTAGACTTAAATCCTAAAAAGCAAGTAGGTAGCTTTTCTGGAAACTACTAATCAATGATGCCTTTCTTTTATATACTCGTAAGTTTTTTCCCATCTAGGCCCAATGATAAATTACATACCCACACACCCAGAGAGTAAAAATCAAAGGGAATTACTAAAAAATGAGAACAATGGGTGAGTCATATTGGCATTAAATCTCTCATCAAGAAGGCTATTCAATCAGGAGCACGGTGAGCACATATAACGCTGACCAACTATTAGAAGGAAAATGATGAGAAGGCACCTAACCTTTTCCCAGTGGGAAAACTACTAGTCAATAGTAAACCCTTTAGGGTAAAACTAAGACAGACAAATGCCAGCTGTATGACTTACTAGCTCTTTGACTCATTTATGTAACAGTTATGTCCAATAATTATGAAAGCTCCTTGTATTATTTTCTTTAATTGTGATTTAACTCTTTCTTTGCTGTCTCAACCTTTCCCAGGTGTACATTTTGACTTGTCACCTGGGCCTTTGTAAATTCCTTAAGAGCACAGACCACATGTGCCCCTCACCATGCCTAGCGCCTGCCTCGCACATTGTCAGCACTCCTTCAATAGCCACTGGTTTGATCTGTGCTTGCAAATCAGTTATCTGACCCCTAAACGGGCTTTGCAAAGGGCCTGCATTGTCACCAGCTCAATAGATCTCTTGGGGAGCCTGCCCGTGCAGGTGCATCACTCATGGTCTGAGAGTCAAGTCTCATTTGCTGATAAATACATGTATCTGTGTATATAGAACAACCCACTCCTCTCTAGGCTTCATATTATAAAAGTGACAAAAGAAAGCAGAGAGTCAAACAGGAATCATCTTTGACCTTCATTCTTAGTCTTCACAAGCATCGTGACTGACTTACTCTGTGTTCTCCACTGCAGGTGGCTGAGCAGCTTATCAACCCTTTTGGAGAAGATGATGATGATTTTGAAACTAACTGGTGCATTGACAGAAATTTGCAGGTGAGATGAGCTTTTTTCCATTTACAAACATTAATAATGTGTTACTTCTGATGTTTTAAATCTAAACAGACTCTGACCACAGGGCCCTGAACTTCAGAGCTTTAACCACCAGTGAAGGAGGTTTGGCCCTTCAGTGTGTTGTCTAAGGGCCCTTTGGAGCCTCACAGGTCCCAGATCTCAGTCCCAGTGAAATTTATCCTCTTTTAAGTAGAATTTCAAGCCAGTCTCCTTTGTAAGTTTTATTACTAGTGTTATACAGAACAAAATTTTAATTCATTCTTTAATCTGTTTCCTATTGCCACCCAGAGAGGTTAACAGTGACATAAAGTGGCAGCCAGACACGACCCGATGTGAGTTCCCAAACTCCTACCGTGTAGGTCCCAGCAGTCAGATGCCCATCAGCCTGGACCCTGGGAACATGGGCTGCGCAGGCCTGCATCTCAGATCGGCCTGAATTGCACCAAAAGACCTCAGGGCCCTTACCCTGAGGCATTATTTCAGGATGAACTAGCATGAGATAATTTTCCTTTTAGGCAAAACTCTCCTCAGGCCATTCTCTACCCTGAGGACCATGGACTGCGAAAAAACCTTCCACTTATCTATTTGTTTCAAGCCCTCACTCAGCTCTTGAACAGGTTCAAACATTTCACCATTGGTCACTGTTGGTTCACAAACTGGCCCCTGTACATGTCGTGGGCAAGGGGTTGAGGGAGGACAATGAGAGACTGGGAAAAAAAGGCAAGCCACTCCAGCTTGGTAGGTGGCAGGTTTAATAAGCAAGGGGGAACACTTACCTGCAAGGCTTGTCTGAGGCGACCACGAGACGGAGTAGATCTCCACACCCGATCAGAAGTTTATCCAGAGGCCTTGACTGGCTGGGTTCAGTCATGTACATCATCCTAATCGTCTCAAGAACCCTTTGCTCTCTCAACCCTGCATCCTTGAAAATGGCTCCCTCTATGACCAGAACACACATTCCAAGGATGGGGAGCAGGGTGAGGAGTTTCCAGATGCCCTGGTCCAGCTCCTGGGTCATCTGGTGGTCACATCCTCTCCTTTACCTCTCTCAGTAATCGCACTGTCAATCTGCTAGGGAGAAAGCATAATGCTTAAGCGATTCACTCAGTAAAGATTGAATTCCCAGAGGATGCATCATGCATCAGTTGGTCAAAGTCAAGAGGAGAGCCCACGATAGCCCCAAGCAGTAGAGAATATCGACATACTTTTCCAAACCAACAAAAGCTCAAGGCCCATAGGAAATGATATCAAGTATAAATGTGTTTATGGAATCAACAGAATGGGGAACTGGGAATCTTCGGCTTCCTGCAATACCTGATTTGTGGTGGATATTGGGATAACCACTAGACAATATGGTACCTTTGAGCAAAGAAGAAAAAGCTGCTTCTCATGCCTTGAGGTAAGAAGCAGCTCCACTCTGAGGCACGTGGCTCGATGAGCCCAGTCTGGCCAGTTTCACAGCCCCACTTACCCCCACAGTCAAATGCTCTCATGCAGTAAACGGCATGTGCAACTCTCTGCAGCAGCCCTGGTTGCAGCAAATAAGAACTAGAGACATCTGTACATTCACTCACCAGGCTGTGTTCCATCCCGCTCCAGATCCCATCCACCCTGTGGAACTTCCTCTATGCAATTCACATCTGGATCATTCTAATACTGTCCCAATGATTGTAGGTCTCTCTTTTAGCTGTGGATGAAATGCACATGAGCTTACCCAAGATGAAGAAGGACATCTACTGGGACGATTCTGCTGCTCGGCCACCATACACACTGGCAGCTGCCGACTACTGCATACCCTCATTTCTGGGCTCAACAGTCGAAATGGGGTAAGTGTATTTTTTAAAAATCATCAATATTTAAAAAATAAGTAAGTCTGATCTGTTTTTACTCTGTTCTTGAAGTCACTTTCATTACAGCTTTTAATTATTAATATCTTATAAATTGCAGATATAATTAACATGCATTAGGGAGTTAGAGAGTAGAGATGTAGTTTCTGGTTTAAATATGGTGTGTGTGTGTGGGCGTGAGAGGGAGTATGTTTGTTCTGCGGTAATTTGCATTGTACATTGTTTTTACACCACAGCAAACTTTTCCAATATTTGTGAAACTATTCTCTTTTTTTCTTGCAATTCGAACAGTAGTTTATTTAATTATGTTGGCATTTATTATTTAATTAATACACTTAATTAAGTGTGGTTTTTAATTTATTGATTTCAGAAAGAGAGAAATGGGGGGGAGAGAGAAACATTGATTTGTTGTTCCACTTATTTAGGCGTTCATTGGTTGATTCTTGTATGTGCCCTGACCGGGGATCGAACCTGAAACTTTGGCATAGAGGGATGCTGCTCAAACTGTCTGAGCTACCTGGCCAGGGTTAAATGTATTTTTTAACAAGTATTTATTGAGCATGTACCATGTGCAGGCGTGGTATTAGACTACTTGGAAACAAGTGAATCTTAAGGAATGAGATGAGTTTTACCAAATCTTCCATAAGATTATAATTCAGTCCAACTGTTTAGTGTAAAAGTCAGTCTCTGCTCCATGGTTTTAACATAACAGTCTGTCCCTGCGCACAACAAGCTTTAAATAAATGAGCCAAGGCCTGAAGTAAATCATGCACAGTTCTTGAATAATTTTATTAAATCTGATAATGCATTTGATTTTGGAGAAATGTGTGAATATGAGGGATGTTGGAGTATATTTGCTGAAGGCAGATGCCACAGTTTCCAAGTAACTTAAAAAGAATATGGACAAATTTAGAAAAGTAAGAATAAACCTCCCAAAAATTACAGAAAAAGAAAAAACTGGTGTAATTTTCCTTATAACTTTTGGAAAAACGGTGGCTTGTTCCCTGAGGCCAGCTTGGAGCGGATTTGTGAAACAAGTTTGTGATTCTGTAGCACTCTGAATTGCCATGTGTGACCCTTCTTTCCCCTCCCACCCCCCACAGTTTTCAGCCCTCCTCTTTCCCTACTGCTTAAAAAAATCATCTGAGTATATTTTCAAGATCCTATTGGCTTTACTCAATGATTCATGAGTCAGGCAGCAACCAATCTAGCAGACAGACAAGAGCTCCGAGAAAGAACAAGGGAGCGATGCCAGGGAAATAAGCAAGTTGGTGACTGCAAGGTTCCTTTGCTTAGGGATGGCAGGGGCCCGTCAGGCGGACACCCAACTGGGGCTGATCAGCTGATTCCTGATGGACTGGATTAAGGTTGCATTTCTAGGAGAGCAGGGATTGTATTTAAGACCCCATGTAGTGATGTGGGACCTAGCAAAGGGTCTTCATGTGGAGCTTCTTGTTTTGTTTAACACTCCTATCAGGATAGCTAGCTTCAATCCTATTTCCACAAGGCTTTGCTCTTAGCCAAATGTCTCCTAATCCCCATAAATAGTGATTTGTAGTGTTTATCCTCCAAAGGAGCCTCTGAGACTGAAAGCCCTTCAAGACCCAAAGAAAAGCAGGACAAAGTAGCACTTCAGGAGCTGTAGTACATATTAAGACAAGGAGCCAGGAGGTTGGCCTTGTCCTCAAGAACACTTTAGAGAAGGTTGCCTGATCCAGGCCAGACTTGCTTCCACTTCCAGAGACACTGCTGAGCCGGGGCCCTGCGTCCAGGGCTTCTTCCAGCCAGGGAGCTCGCATCCACCCCAGCCAATGGCTCCATCTCTATCAACAGTCATTTCCTGTTGTTTGCACTACTCAGCATTTCTGCAGTGGCAGTTTCATGAATGTCTGGCAACGTTTGCGATTTTGAAAATAGATGCTTTTCTGTGAGTTTGGTTTTAGATAATTAAATATGCTTTAACCTTCCCCTCCATTCCCATCACTGATTAATCCAAAGTATTTGAAGATCTACCTTGGAAAGGTAGAGAGCCCAGCCCCTGTGATGGGACCAGGGAATTAGTGTGATGACTCTATCTGGTCTCTGAGTGCTACTGTCCACTTAGTTGTTTTTGTGTGCTGGTTAAAATGATTTTTTTTGGTCTCAAGATTTTTATGTTGATACACGTATTCATCCTAATCATCATAATTTTACAATCCTATTAAGTGTTCACATTCTTTAGCAAGTATTAAAATATGCACTTCTCCTATTTCTAAATATCAAAACATAGAATTAGGGCTTTACAAAATCTCAGAGAAAATACCTACCCCCAAAAGATTATTGGGAAAATTAAACAGGATTATAAACATAAAAACACTCCAGATAAAACTATAGAGAATTATTATTATCCACTACTACAGGTCTCTTAATTGTGGATATCAAACTTAGGTACAGAAAGATTAAACAAAACTAAGCTGTTTCTCAAATTAAACTATAATCCTAGAAATTTGGCACAGACAATAAATGCTTGAGAGAAAATAAGGCAATGCAACGTTGAATAATGCAGTGAGAAGTCATCAGAGGTCAGAGAGACTCTTCTAATTAAGATGGCCTGTTTACTAGCATGACGGGACAGGCCCCAGCAAGGCCAGAGCCTATTAAGGGAGGTTTTCATGAGACATTTAAATGAACTCCACTAGGACCAAGTGATCAAAGAAACCACTAGGCAAAAGCTCACTTGACCTTGAATTTCTGTGTGATCGAGGACCATTGAACGGCAGCCTCACGGTACAGGAAAGATCCCTCAGGAATACAGGCATTTGGAAAACAGTGTTCCCAGGAATTCCCTCTTCAATCCATTAGTGTCTCTCAGTTCAGCTTTTCTCTCCACTGGTTAAGCTTTCAGGCAGTTGTCCCCTCTTGATGATAAAATGACATGATGACAGACAGCAGGAATACACCTATCTTCTTAGCAAATCCTATGGAAAGAGCACATCTCTTTTCAGCTCTTAAAACTGAAGTACTAGATTTGCTGTGATTGGCTGAGCTTGGCTAACATGCTCATTTCTGAACCAATCACTATGGGCAGGGAGACATAGTATTCTGATTAGCCAAGGCTGCTTTACCTGTCCATGTTTGGACCAAGGGGTGCAGTCAGCCCCAATCATCCATATGGAATGGGTGATATCTTAAGAAAAATCAGGGTAATATTACCAGGAAAGGGGTAAATGGGTTTCCAGGCTGGCAAAACAATAGATGTCTTCTCAAATGAGAAAAGATAGTTCCCTGAGCACTGAATTGTCCACTCACCAAATACAAGGTCAATATTAAGTGACCCATCTAACCATGGCTCAGGTGAAAAGGAAGATAAAAATAAAGATTAATGTAGCACAGGTGTTTCTGCTGATGATAACTGAACCACTGAGCTCTTCACATCAAGGTAAAGACCAGGTACCAACATCATATGGATGCACACATTTCAGAAAAATGTTTTCTGCTTGATAAATACATACAATCCTTCTGAGTAAGATTTTCTTGTTTTCTTACTCTGTCTAAAGTGTATGTTCCCAGCATATTTAATTCAGAAATCAAATTTCCCCTATCTTTTCATATCAACATTTCAGGTGTGTAACGACAATTCCCATGACCCAGAAATTCTAAAATCAAGCCAGCACCCTTCAGTAACTGAGCAGAAGGGCCCCTCAGGGGCAGCCTGAGAAATCACTCCGCTTCGGCGCCCTGCGCAGTCAGCACACTGCCGACCGCATCGCACGGCAACTCCTCCGAGGCAGGTGTTTTGTTCTCTCTGTTCAGGAACGCGTCCAAAACATTACCCTATTTTCTACATATGTACCAAATATATGTTACTGAAATTAGTTTTTTCCTTTTGTATCCCCAGTACAGATTTAACAATCCTGTTTTCCCTTTTATCTTCACATATGGAATGTGCTCATTCGTTTGTCAAAATAAAAAGTCTGAAGCCCTATAATACGGTAGGTTCAAGGCCAGATGCTCAAGATAGGCAAAAAATAAAACTGTCTCTTAAACTCTTAACAAGGAGACAAGTTATAATGTGGGAGATGAGAAATGCTTGGAGTCTTAGGGAGCACAAGGAAGAGACATTTCCCCCGGCTTCATGAATCAGAGAAGGCTTCTTGGAATTGAGGGGGTCTAACATGCATCTATGAGAATTAAGAGCTGGTTAAGGAGTGAGGGGATTTCGCCAAAGACACATTCCAGACCAATGTGAGCCAAGACAGAAAGGAATGATAATGTTTTTAGAGTAATATTTTTTAAATTTCAACTTTATTGATGTATTGTTGACAAATAACCTGTAAGATATTTAAAGTATACCTGTGCTGACTTAATATTCATACACATTGTGAAAGGATTCCCCCGCCTAGTTAATTATCACATCTGTCTCCTCATTTAGTTACCTTTTTTAGGGGAGAGTGAGAATGTTTAAATTCTCTTAGCGAAGCTCAGTTATACAACACAGTGTTATCAGTGATAGCCACTGTGGTTTTCATTAGATCCTCAGGCCTTATTCATCTCCCACCTGAAAGTCTGTATCCTTGTACCAGTGTCTCCCCATCCCCCACCCCCACCCCAGGCCCTGCAGCCACTTTTCTGCTGTCTCTATTAGAGTAACAATTTGACACGCAAAGCAAAAGAGCCAAGACATGAATCCAGAGAGGGAGGTAAGGGCTGATTACAGAAGTTTTAATAGTCTGGGTAAAGAGCTTCAGCCTTTCTCCAAAGCCGTGAAATGACACAGTCACATTTGTGTTTTAGATGGGTTAGCCTAGCAGCCAGCTAAAGATGGATGGCTAGGGAAAAGACTCCAGCCAGAGAGACCCATTAAGCAGGCTGTGGGCATAGTTTAGACAGGAGACGAGAAGGGCCTGAACTAGGTTGGCATTAGAAGGGATGCAGACAGTGGAGAAGGTATAGGGGCAGATTCAGGAAAGGGGGAATGGAGAACAACTGTGTGATTGGTA